TATATATATATATATATATATATATATATATATATATATATATATATATATATATATTCCGATAGTGAAAGGGTCTCGCTACTGATGCATTTTGTTAATGTGTGTTAGGAAAGATAAAAAAACAAGTTTCGATTTATATTACAGGAGATGAGAAAAATGAATGGAACTAATTGATGTGGTCAACGTTACGAGTATTTTCATTGACACAGTATTCTATGTCAACTTGAAAAACGTCATCCTACAAATTTAATCACTGAACAATCGTTAAGTACGACAGGGGATGTAGCTCAGATGGTAGAGCGCTCGCTTAGCATGCGAGAGGTACGGGGATCGATACCCCGCATCTCCAGACATCTTACTTTTCTGTTTTAACTTTTTAATAATTTTCTACTTTTCTTCTCTCTGATTCCTGTATTCCTTCGTAAATCCCAGGCTAGGTTATGATTCTTTTTACAAAACCCCAATAGAACCCCGATTTTTGCTTCAACCACACTCGTTGGTGTTTGTTAAGCAAAGACAGCTATCAGCATATCTAGCACATGTGAACGGGGATGTAGCTCAGATGGTAGAGCGCTCGCTTAGCATGCGAGAGGTACGGGGATCGATACCCCGCATCTCCAGTAATTTTTTTTCTATTCTAATATCTTTTCTCTTTATATCGTCATCTCTAAACGGACCTCTTAGCAAGATCCAAATCTTTGAAGTCCCTTTTCTCCCGGCCTGATGGGGAGGAGAAGGCCGTCCTGTCCCGCCTACACTACGTGGTGACTCCGGTGCACCAGCTGGGCAATTGGATGTCTGTTCTGATGAGCAGATGAAGCTGTGAGGATCACGGATGTGGCTCAGTGCTACAGGTCCCTTCATCTCATCAGGTAATTTTCTGGCAAACTTTTCCCCCTCGAGTTAACAAGTTGAGTAGTTGCAAAAGTTTGGCCCCCTCTCCTTCAACTTCACGATGTCTTCAGTCATTGTGTAGAGTCTCTGTACTGTGTCTTATACACTTATGTACATGTATCACAGTGACTGTTATTTTCAGCCAGTTTGATGGAATTTTTAAAAACCATTCACTAGTTTCCCATCCCCAGAATGCAACGCGAAAACAGGGGGTCTAACCTCATTTGCACTAGGACAGGAAGGCATCGGAATGATCCTGGTGACGTTTAACAACTTGCTTTTTATGCTCAACATTAATTAAATTACTATGGGTTGAAAACAAATAGAGAATGAATTTTTTGGAATATGTGGTTTGTAACGTTATAGTGGTAACGCTATACTGATGCTGTAACGTTACAAACCATATGTTCCATGTTGAAAACAACACTAAAACTTCATTCTCTATTTGTTTTCAGGTTCGGCCCATAGTAATCTAATTAATGTTGAGCATAAAATGCCCCAACACCTCAAACAACAGTGAAAAGCAAGCTGTTTAACATCAACAGGATCATTCCGATGCCTTCCTGTCCTATGCAAATGAGGTTAGACCCCCTGTTTTCGCGTTGCATTCTGGGGATGGGAAACTGGTGAATGGAGAGTCTCCTTGGTAGACCCATGTACAAGGAAACCGGATATGAAATTAAATACAAAACGGCTAAAAGTAAACGTGCTTTGAATATTTGTCATCATTACTTCCTGGTACAGAAGTATTGTTATTCACCCGATCAAGTTACTGAGTAAGAATTCTGCTTCTTAAGTTAAAGTGTGTGACGTTACGTTTCAGAGGTTTTAAAATTCAAAAGTCAGCTTGAAAATGTTGTGGCCTTACCAGCTGTACATCCCCTTTGTAGGGTGTTATTCACGCTATGCCCCAACACCTCAAAACACAGTGAAAAGCAAGCTGTTTAACGTCAACAGGATCATTCCAATGCCTTTCAGTCCTATGCAAATGAGGGTTACCCCCCTATTTTCGCATTGCATTCTGGGGATGGGAAACTGGTGAATAGGGTCGGTCGGGAAAACCGGAAACACAACAATTGTTCTTGTTACCTTTAACCTATAATGTAGGCCAAAAGGTTAAGGGGTCAAAGTCCACCAGGTTAAACAATCACGTAGAAATTAGTTGTGAGCTAAAAATAAACACGGTGAACCAGCGGGTGTTTGTTACAGCGGAGGTACGTCAAGTTGTCGTGATTTCCAACCGAGGATATGTTCGGAATCTTTGCGCTTAGGCAGCGGCTGTTGTCGAAAGGGGTAGGCGGAAGATGGCTGCAGTTACACCGAGGAGCAACTACACAAGGTACGGTGTTGTAATAATCATATTGTTGTGCAGCTGTAAGCTTTATTCTAAGCGGTAGGTATGGCAAACGGTTCTTTCAGGTACTCATACCACCACGGATGAGGAGACAGAACCCTAACAGCCTTCAAACAATTGTATGTACTTCACAATCATTGGTATGCAAATTCAATCCTGATTTTAATCCTGATTTTAATCTTGATTTCATTGTATTATGTTTGTATTATCATTGTATTACCTTAGTTCTACGTTATAAGATGTTACGGTTACAAAATTGCTTCTCTTATGTTATTTAAGTTACTTTGATTTTGTAATCAATTTGTAAACTGCGTTATTTGATACCTTTGTTAATTTTGTTAAATGAATTTTGTTTGGGGTTTTCCCCCCAGGAACCTTTGAAAATCGCCATCAGGTGACATGTGTTTTCTTGGATAAATAAACAAACAAACAAACAAACAAACATTATGTATTTGGCCTCGTTCAGTCAATATTGACTATATCTATTTCTTTTCACATCCGCCATGTTGGGCGCCAGTGACAATCTGTTGAACACGCCAACTTAATCAAGTTACCCGCCAACACTACTCTCCAAGCAGAGGTGAGAGGGAGAGAACGTAGGATATTCCGACATGGCTAGCTAAGGGAGGCACATTTCCCTCTCGT